ATAAAAGCTCATCTTTTACTTTGGTTGAGGTTAGGAATCATGGTAAGTCATATTTCTGAGAGGAAGACGACACTCAAGAGACTAATTAACCATTCTGAAGGCTTTGGGGTTTATTAAGATGGGTTAAACAGAGGCCAGAGAGACAGTACAGTGGACAGGCTGCTTGCCTTGCATGCGGTCAACCTGGGTTCACTCCCCAACACCCCATAAGTTTCTCTAAGCACTACCAGGAGTGACCCTGAGCACAGAACCAGGACCAACCACAAGAGTAGCCCAACTCAAACAAAAAAGCTAAACATACACAGGGCATTTGCCTTGCACGTGGCCAACCTGGGTATGATCCCCAGCATCCCACATGGTCCCCTGAGCACTGCCAGGAGTAATTCCTGAGTGCAGAGCCAGGAGTAACCCCTGTGCATCGCTGGGTGTGACCCAAAAAGAAAAAAAAAGTTAAATATACACATAGATAATTCTTAGTATTAGAGCCACATTCTAAGTGACAAAACTAGTTTGCAGAAATCTCACCACCATGGTTTCCACCAAAAAACTTGATCACAATTTCAAACTGCTCTGTAAATAGCAGTGTTGAATTGAAAGTCAACTTAAAACCCCAATTTTATAGTCTGGAAACTCTGCTGATACAAAATGAAACAGTAATAAATTACAAGTTGTCCCAGTGAACAAGAGGCGCCTGCCTCTCTGGCCATTAGGTGTGTTCAAGGTGTAGTTTTGGTTTCACCCAGTTTCTCTCTTTTTCATCATTTCACATTCTATTTTGATGTGCAGTGCCCTGCACTTCCTGTTACTACATCTTGATATTCTACGGCAAATCATGACTCATTCTGAAATCATCGAGAAACTCATCAAAATCCCAGATTTCACAGCAGACATGAATTCAGGCTTTCAAGAGGACAGCATTCTTAGAACATTACTTGGCACCACAGAGACAAAAACACTGAACAAGTCCATGTAGAATTTATGCCAATCCGGTATGGACTCAACACGTTTATTAGATTAATAAATACAAGCTCTGTGTGTGGCGAATTCGGTCGTTCGGACTAGTAATTAAAATGTGTCACAGAAGACAGGAAAGGACAGTAAGTCACACACAGAAAGTACCAAGCATGACTCCAATTAAAAACGTTATGCATGTGCATGGTGCACATGTGTGTATGTATAAGTCCACACATATGCATTTTTAAAAGACAAAAGAATCCATACCAAACCATTCAAGGTAGAATTATGAGAGATTTTTTTCTTTGTGATTTTTTAAATTAGTTCTAAGATAACTGACATTAACATATTTGGTAATGGGGGAAATAACTTTGAAAAATATTGCGATGTTAGTGTGATTTCAAATATGTTATAAATCAATGTAAAAAGCAAAGAGGAATTCTTCGTAATGACTTTAAAACTTCTTGCCTGAAGTACGGAGAAAAGAAAAGGATCCTGGGCTCAAATGGTTATGTCACTGCTGTGGAGATGTGGGTATGAGCCTTTAGGAAGGGTGACCTCAGCTGCCTGAGGTCAGGCCAGAGTACCCATTTCTTTAAAAGTTTATTGAGGAACCCCAGGTCTGATAAGGGAGCATAGAGGGCTGACACAGTCCCTTGGACTGGAAAGGAACAAAGCTATTTATTCGGAAGCAGTAACTCACCATCAGCAAAAAAAAAAAAAAAAAAAAAAGCCCCTCTACTTACTCCAGGAAGTCCCATTCTTGAATAACTTTTGCCTAAGTGTTTTGGGTTTGTCAATAGGTAATGTTTTGAGTTGGTAAGGTACTGTCACTTACCACAGCACCTTATTAGCTTTTTTTAATCGGAGAGACGTAAATACAAGTATGTAGCACCAAACACAAAAACCAATAACGGATAGCTAAGAGTATTTTCATTTATACACTGCCTGGAAGTCTTTTAAAACCTATTTCAGGAAAAGATTCAAGTTCCCAAAAGTTAATACAAATATAAATTTCAATGCATGATCTCAGAGACACATTTACTGGATATTAGTTTTGAATTATTAACTTTTTAAATAAGAAAAAATATTTTAATAAATGTTTCAGAAACTTTAAAATTCAAATGAGGCTGGGGGAAGAAAAATCACTGCTCTCCCATAAGGCATTATGGTATTTAACAAAAACATCAGCAGTGTCAGGGGTAAGGTTTAACATAGCTCACAAAGGCTATACCAAGACAATATCATCATATGCACGTCATTCTACTGCATCTGATTGACCCTAGAGAAAGAAAATTCATGCATATTGTATTATACATGTGGCAGAAAATGTAGAGCTTTTGAAAGCCTTCTAAGTGCTGCATATAAAAGAACTATCATCGCCACTATTGATGCAATAAGTTTCTTGGTCTAAGCACTACAGACATTTGAAAAACTTTTTTTTTTGGAGGACGGGGCTGTCCTTGGAAGTTTAGGCAGCATCCCTAGCTGCTACCCTCAAAATGCCAACAGCGCCCCCTATAGTTATAACAAGATCGTGGCAAAAGTCCTTGGAAGGCAAGAAAGGATGGAAATGAAGCTGTGATTTAAACAGTAACTAAAGGAAGGAGGAATTCTCATCACCTCCGTCCCAAGGTAATGTTGGTCTGAGAGGAGAAAGCAGCCAATCTCTGTCCTGAAGGTAGGTTAGTGGAGTCTGTGAGCGCTGGAAAGCGTGCACCGTTTCCTATACGGTTCGCTCTCCTACTCATAGCTCCATGGCAACAATTTATTGAGCATCAAGTCAGTGCCTCAAAACGGCGAGGGGCATCCTGTGAGTCCACTGACTCACCCCCCAGCAGCTGTTTTTAGGACTTGCCTTGCCACCCTGCAAGAAATGCTGAGACCTTAAAAAAAAAAAAACAAGAAGCAGTAAATCCTTGTCAACGAAGGCTCCCCAGTTTCAAGAATGTCCCTTAAAACGCTGGACCCTTTACAGCAATGCTACACATGTCCAACATTTAGAGGCTGAAAAGGAAAGGGGGAGGGGAGCTTGAAGGCCTTTGCTATATTTGGCACAGAGAAACCTGGAGGGATGTTTGCAGGCAGAATCCTTACTGGAAATCTAAAATCACTTATGGACAGTCTGTCTGACCCCGTGCTCTCCTAAAACAATCGGTGATTTTATAATTCCCATAAACCAAATCTCTTAACTGCCCTATCCTCAAGAAATGTGTCCTGGGGTGGACAGAAGCATCCCAGGGTATTTTGTTGGGTGACAGCAGGGCTCAGAAGTGCACTGGAGAACTCTTAGGAGAGCTGTGAACCAGGCCTGGTCTCTCTGGACTCCCGTCTACCCCTACGCCCCCCACCCCCACCCTAAGGGCTCCCAACGACGTCTGAAGCAGAGACACGTGGAGGTTGGATGTGTTTGGGTGGCTGGGGCCACGGAACCGCGTTACATGCTCGCGCGTGCGCGTGCGCGCGCACTTACACACAGACACACACACACACACACACACACACACACACACACAAACACACACTTGCTCTCACACTCCAGCGGCAAAGCAAAACCTGCAAACCCGAAATCCAAAATGGCAAAGTGACTTCAAGGTTTTTCAAGATGCTGCCACCACCGCAAGGACCGCAGGGCGGCTGCCCCTCTAAGTAAATAAAGCCGTAACTTGTCTCCCCCTCCTGCGCAGGGCTGCCGGGCTGACAGTGGCCGTACAAAACCCCTCCTGTGCAGAGCAGCGGAAACTCCTAATGAGATTAGTTGGTGTGTGTGCAGACATTACTTAGCAATGACTAAAGGGGCTCTCTCTTCCTGCAGCGGCCAGTGGAAAATTCAAGGAACTTTTTCCCCCTGCAGCAGCAGAATCCCTTTAACCCTCTCCCCAGCCAACTCCAAAAACAACTCAGCTTCCCCCTGCCCCTCCTCCCAGAGTTGGGGTGCAAGGAGGGGGGGTGTAGTTAAAGACCCCGAAAGGGCCCTTTGCAAAGGGAGGAGGGTGGGAGGGGGTCGGCGAGGAAGGGGCGGGAGGGGGGCAGGGGAACCCCTCGAACACTACAAAGGAAACTGTACAAGGCACAAATACATAAACCTGAGAAGGAGCGAACCACAGTTTCTTTGTGAGCTTCTCCAGTGAGTCATTTTCAAGATGCTGTCTGCTGCCAGTTTCAAAGCGGAAGCGCATGGCAATTAGTCTTGCCGTTTCCAGACAAGCCAGAAACTCTCCCGACACTCGTTTTTTTTTTCTTTCTAAAAAGCCCCTTTTGCACTTTCTGAAATAACATTTTGCTCCCTGCGCCTGACTGCAGGTTGTCCTCGATGACTGGGTCCAGGAAAAAAAAAAAACCCAAAGAGACCTTTTCTAAACCCCCCCCTTTTTTCCCTTCTCCTTCTCTCCACCCTCCAAAACGTTCGCTCCCCCTTCCCCAAAAAGTTACAGCAGAAAAGCAGGCCCACAGCGAAGTGGCTCGGAGCGCCCCGCATCCGCTCGCCCCTTCCCCAAGCCACCGGCTCCTCCGGGACCCGCGGGTCGCGCGCCTGGGGCGGTGGTGACCCGGGCGGGGGTGGGGGTCACCTGCCCAGCGACCCCGCAAATTCTCGGCCGCCCGGCTCGCCCCGGGACCCCTCCCAGGCCCCGAGCGCCGGTGCCCACCGCCACCCCGAGGGGCGCCCCAGCTGACGGTCGGCGGGGCTCCAGCCTCCAGGCACGCCGTCCCTCCGAGTCTCCCGACCCCCTCCCCCCCAACCGCCGCGTGCAGCCGCCCCCTCCTCCGGGCTGGCCCCTGGGTGAGCGGGGTTAGGGGTGCAGCCGGGGGCGCCGCCAGCCTCCGGGGCCCGGCGCGCGGACGGGTGCGGGCGCAGGAGCATCCCCGCGGCGCCCCCTCCCCCGCGGCCGCTCCGCAACCCCCGGGGCCCACCGCCCCACCCCCACCGAGCCCCCGACGAGTGAAGGGGGGGGGGGGGGGAAAGGGCCAACGGGCCCCCGGGCTAAAACACCCCCCGGCGAAGTTTGCAACAGTCCGAGCAACAGGCAGCCCAGCTCGCAACCTACCCAGATGTGGGGGAGCTCTCAAGATCCTTCTTCGGGGGGGAGTTTCTAGGAGGAACCGGGCGAAAGCCCCCGACTTTCCATGCTGACAGGCGTCTGCAGACGGTCTGTGGCTCTTGTAATGAGATCCTGATTTTTCCCCCCCTGTTTTTTTTTTTTCTTTCTCTCGCTCCTTTTTTTTTTTTTTTTTTTTGCCTCCTGTGTGTGAGAGCAGGAAGTTGGAGCAGTCGGGCCGAGCCGGCTCACTTCCTTTACTGCATTATTCCCCAGGCGGTGTGCAGTCTGTGTAAACAGGCTTTTCCGCCCCGCGCCGCGCGCCCGGCCGCGGCTGTGCGCCGGGGCTGCCCGCCCGCCCAGGCCCGCGCATACCCGGCCCCGGCCCCGCGCTCGCCCGCACCGCGCCCCGCTTCCTGCCCGGCCACCCCCGGGGAGGAGCCTGGGCTCCCGCGGCCACTCGGCGCGGCGCGGCCCCTCCCCACCGGGGGGAGAGGGGGGGAACTCCTGAGCCCCGGCGAGCGACGGAAACCGGGTGCCCGGTGGAACACCCCCCTCCACCCCACCCCCCCCCCGCGCGCCCCGTCCACCCCGCCCAGTCCCTGTCTTGGTCACCACCGCGCCGGGCCCCTGCCAGGGGGGTCGTGTCCTGCCCCCTGGGCCTGGGCTGGGAGGCCCCGAAGTAGGAAGGCGACTGAACCGGCGGCTTTTGAGCCAGCGGGGATGGACCAGGAGTTGGGGGACACCAGGGGTGTTAGGGTGCACCGGGCCAGGAGCTGCTTTCCTGGGTAGTGCGGGTGGGATGTGAGGGCTTGGGATGAGATGTTGGTTGCTTTCGGCTGGGATTCTGTTTGAAAGCCAGGCTCAGCGTAGGGGCCCACTTGGGGGAAGAGGATGAAGAACTGGGGGTCCAGAATCCTCCGGGGATAGACCATGCTGTGTCCAGCCAAGGGCCCAGCCTTTGCTGGCTGCCCAGAAGCTAGAGGAAAACCGGCTGCAAACCGTGGGACCACTCTTGGAACACCCCAGGCTCGTGGCCTCCCCAAAACTCCCCTAAGAAGGGCACAGGCCAAGCCGGAAACCCCATGCCCTGTCCACTCCTTAAGGCTGAGAAGAGGGAGGTGGCCTGGAGGAAAGTGACCAGTCTCAGTCCCCCATCCCACCCTAAACAGCTCACCTTCTAGAACCTTCCAGCTCCACACCTCCTCCCCTAGAGTCGGACAGACAAGACCTCGGACTGGAGTTCCCAATTCTGGCCCTCTGGGGTGATTCTCAGCCCTGACTGAGGAGTATTTTGAAAACCATTGCTCTCCACACACACAACACAAACCAATTATGGATTCCCTGGGGCCAGGGCAAGCCGAAGGGCTCTTCTGCTTGTCCCTCCACTGCATTTCTTTCTGCTGCAATCTTTCTGAAAGGTTGTTTACTCCTCTCCAGCTCTATTTCACGATGGCTTCCAAAGGGCAGGCTTGGAACTGCCCCACCTCCTAGTAGCTGGCCCCCAACTCTGAGCTCCCCCAGAACTCCTGGCTCCGAGAATAACCCTTGCTTCCTGCAGGTGAGAATAGGTTGCTGAGAAGAGGAGCAAAGCCCCCCAGAAAAGCTTAGAGCACGGGAAACCACCAGGCAGAGTAGGTGGGTGGGGCGGGTAAGATGGACCAAGGAGGGCCACAGGAGGCTGTTTATCAACACCGGATTCTCCACAGCCAATTTTCCACTTTACGGAGTGTCATTTTAATCCCTCCATGGTTTCTCCTGTCACTCAGCAGAGCTCACAAAGTGTCCCAGTATGATATTGCTGGCTATAGAAGAGAAGAATATAAACTTAGTATCCTCAGGGCAAGAGTGTCCTCACGACACTCAGTTGACAACATTGGGTTGCTTTTTTTTTTTTAAAGAACATGTGTGCCAACACCCAACCTAAGTATGCTTCAATTCTTCAATTTTTGTGCTTTTTTGTTTGTTTGTTTATTTTTACTACAAATCTTTGGAGAGTCCTCGTATGTTAAGGAGGAAAGGTGTGACTGCTTTCCCCAGTTTGTCTGGAAGAAACGCCACTTTTGAGGGCCCCCTGAAACTCTTGCCTACCATTGTAGTGTTTCCTGGAAAGTACAGAGATCTCTGAAGTTTATCTGGTGTTCTTTTTGGGGTTAGGATGTGGGTTGGACCACATCCAGCAGTGCCCAGCGCTTGTTTCTGGCTCTGTGCTCAGGGGGTCACTCGAGGTGGTGCTCAAGACCACATGTCATTCCAGGTATTGAACTGTGTAGTCGTCTATGTGTAAGGCAAGTGTCATCCCCACCTGTTCTATCTCTGGCCTTCAGTTTTTCTGGTGTTTCAGTCATCCCTATCATTTCCAGTTCTCCATTGGAATGAGTAATGAATGCAGAGTTGATGCTCCTCTTCCTTGAGATCAGGGAATAACTGAGATGGTTCCATTTCTGTCCTTTGCATTTTTTTATGTGGGAGTATTACTATTTATTCAGCCACTGATTAGCTGATTGAATTGGGCATGAAATCCACCTTACTTTTGTTTTTTTCATTTTTTTATAATTTTATTTATTGAATCACCGTGAGAGCAGTTACAAAGCTTTCAGGTTTAAGTCTCGGTCATACAATGAAACACCCGTACCTTCACCAGTGGCCATTCTCCACCCCCAAAATCCCCAGTATACCCTCATCCCACATCCTCCCCCTACCTGTGGGGCAGATGATTTCCACATTACTCTCTCTCTCTCTCTCTCTACTTTGATTACATTCAATATTTTGACACCAGATCCACCATTATTATTTGAGATTTTACCCCAAAACTCAGGTCTGCTGAAAAGGCAACCCTAGACAATTTGTTTTCTATTGCTGGTTATGAATAACATATGATGTCACGTGGCTGCAGTAGTGACCGCATGATTTTGAAATTACAAAATTTTAACAATTAAATCTGGAGGAATTTTTGCCAAAACCTGCTGGGTTCCGAGATTTGTTCCTGAGTCTCTTGGATCATGGCCATTAAGCAGTTTGATCAGGAGCCAGAAAGGCTGTTCATGGAAGGCGACTCGGGGCCTCGTTGTGACGGGGAGTGTCCTTTTTATTTCAAGGAAACCTGTTCAGGGAAACTCAGCTGCTTTAACAACGGTGCTAGATTAGATGGTTGAAGAAACAGTCCCTCATCTCTCCATGTTCTGAAGGCTGAGAGATCCAATAGCAAGGTGCCAGCACATCTAGTTCTTGGTGAGGATCCTTTACCTGGCAGTGCATGGCCACCTCCACTGTGTACCCCCAGGCACCCTCTCCCCACCTTGCACACATCAGTCTGGTTCCATCCCCAGCACCACATACAGTCCCCAGAGCCCTGCAGAGGGCACAAAGCCAGGAGTATCCCCAAACACAGCTAGGTATGGCCCAAAAGACAAAGGAAAGCAGTCAAGAGGCATGACTTTGACATTGCCTGACACATGCTTCTTTTTAAATGCCTTTATTGTATTAAAAAAAAGACAGAAGCTGGGACTGTATGGGTTACCGAGATTTCTTTAGGATTCCTTCAGAGCAGATGCCAGGATCTAGGGTAAGTGAAGAGTGAAGGTTTCTTAGCACTGACAAGAATTGCTGAGATGGAACTGGAGATTGGATTAATTGTGTAATGTATTACATTATTAATACATTACACTATTAATACATTAGGATGCTCAGGACATCTTGAGAAAGAATTCAAGAAAATTGGCTTTTCCAAAATCCTTGCTCCTGGAAGAGTGGGGGTCTATTGGTCAGCTTTTGCTGAGAGGACTGTGTAACAAAGAGTCCCCACTCTCAGGAGGTTACAAATGGGGATGGTCTGAGATTATGTCTGCCTCCAAAGTCTTTAATCCGGGCTGAAAGAATAGACACGGCTTAGGACCTGTGGTTTTCTAGACGGGCAGGGATTTGAGCAGTGAGTGGAGTCTCAGGATGCCTCTTCAAACCTCACTGGAAGACTAGCATGCTCTCGCTTCAATTCACAATTCATTCAAAAAACAAATTCATATGCAGGCAGTCAAGATTAAAGTCGGTAGGAGGGAAAAGGGCAGGTAGGGAAGGGAGAACTCTGAGCAAATAATACAATCGCTGCAAGAGAAAACAAACAGTGGATACACAAAAACAACAACCTTTTAGCATCCTCATTTTCAACGTGTAGAGATGTCCTGCAGAATGAGATTTTATGAACGGTTAAAAGTATGTTTATTAGAAAAATTTGGAGACAAAAATAAGTGTTTAGAATACACCAAATTAAACTTTTTCAGAATACATAGTATTTGAAACTTATGAATTGGGGGTAGAAACTTAAAAGTGACTTGTCATCACTGCTTCTGAAGATTGTATGGGACCATATGGGAGATGGGTCAGGGATGCAAGCAGGGGTTACTGATAAGAAAGACTTCTAGAGGTCCAAACCTGATGGGAAAGGAGGCATTTGGATTTAGGAATTTAGGGATCCTGTCTGTCACCTCACTTGATCTCAACTAAGTGTTTCATCATCTCTGAATCTGAGCATCAATGTTTACTGATTTTTCACAGTGATTGCCAACTTTAGATGAAAACAACTTAAGTGTGGATGGTGATTCCCAAAAGCCATGAACTTCATTTCCAAACTTAAAAGACTTTCATAGACTTACAGGCAGACCCCTGTGGAGGCAATTCTCCCTTTTGTCCTGGTAGGATGTTGGGGTAGGGGCGGGGGGATGTGGAATGTTTGAGAAACATCAGTCTAGAACATCTTCTTTCCCCCTCAGACTGACCACCCATGGCCGGAGATTGGCAAACTGCAGTCCGCAGGGCCCCACTGCCTCTTTCTCTAGGACTTTCAAGTGAAAAGGAACTGGCATTTGCTTTTTTAAAATTTTTAATTGTGGTAAGAACACATAGCATAAAATTTACTATCCTCACCACTTTTAAGTAAACAGTACAATAGTGTTAAATATATTCATATTGTTGTGCAACTCATCTCTGGAACGTTGTCGTCTTGCAAAACTGAAACTCTATATCCGTTAAACTCGACGTTCCATTCCCTCTCACGCCAGCGACTGGCAGCTGTCATGCTTCTTTCTGTTTCTCTAAATACAACTGCCTCGTATAAATGGAATCAGACAACACTTGTCTTGGGGTGACTGGTTTTGTCTCTCTTAGCATCGCATATGTAAGGCATGTCCCTGTTTTACTAGGTGACAGTATTCCCTGCCTTTTTTGAAGCTAAATAATATTCCATTATCTGGGCAGATTACATTGGTTTAAATCCATTCATCTGCACACTATAATCACCTCTGAACTATTGTGCAGAATAGAATTTACAGGTTTAAGTGGTTGAAAACAAAACAGAAGATTTTGATCAGGGATTCTACTGACTCAGCAGTAGAGCATAGGCCCCAATTTT